GCGCGGGCGCAGTGCGCAGGCGCCGCGCCGCGCACTCTGGGAGTCGAAGTCTTCCCGCTGCTTCCAGACGGTTCGGCCCCGCGGTCCGGCTGATGTCCGGTCCTCGCCGGTGGTGTTTTCTTTCCTTCTCTTTTTTCCCCCGCTACTTGGGATTGAACCCAGGGCCTTTCCAATGAACTGCATTCCCATTCTTTTAAAAATTGTATCTTATTTTATTTATTTATTTTTGTACCGGGGATAGAACTCAGGATTGCGAGGCAGGTGCGGCATCACTGAGGTACAGCCCTAGTCCCGTTTTTTCATTTTTTATTTGGGACAAATTGCTAAACTGCCCAACTGAATTCGCACTTGAAGCCCGCCTGACTCGGCTTCCCAGAGTGCTAGGATGACAGACCCGCGTCACATGCGGGCTACTTCTAATTTTTCTTGATGGTGGCCAAGGTGGTCACGATTGCCGTCCTCTTGGGGGACTGGGCATCTCGGAACATAGGAGTGAGGGGGCCCTGAGGACGCCTATCCATCCAGGCCCAAGGGCCGAAGCACAGGCCTGCAATAGTCCTCCGGGCCCGTCCCAGCCCTGGGCCCCGCAAAGGCCCCGCCCTCGGGGGCTCCAGGCGGTCTCTGGCACGGAGACTGAGGTGCGGGCCGAGCTCGCCCGTCACTCCCCGTCACTCCCAGCGCTCTGGGGGAAACCGCCGAACTTGCGCCCGACCCTAACAGCTCGGTGACTTGGCGAGCATCAAAGTACCACTCAGAGGTCTGGAGAGGTAGCACGGCTCGAAGGGCCCGGGTTCAATCCCCAGTGTCGAGGAGGAATTGTGTCGCAGGCAGCGCTGCACCCCTGGCTGGTGACGCGGTGTGGCTTCGGGCACTGCGCGTCTCTCTCTGGCGCCTACCAAACCCCACCCTGAGCCCAGGAGCAGCGCCGCGGCCCGACTGGCACGAACAGGGCGACAAGGAGGAGCTCCAGCTCCACCCGCTACCCGTCGCGCTGCGTGCATCCAACCCGCTCTGCGGAGTCAGCGCAG